TGACCCTCGAGAAACTTCGAGGCACTGTGGAGAAGAAGTTGGAGAGGATGGGGGACATCATCTATGAGTACGGGGCAGAAAGCTTTGGAGTGCAAGAGGCAAAAGGCGGGAGAAAGGTTCCAACCCCACCAGTTTCCAGGAGGCAACAAGAAATCAAGCGCCTCGTTCAAGAAAGGAGACAGCTTAAGAAACAGTGGAAGAAAGCCTCGGAAGTGGAAAAGGAGGGCATAGAGGCACTTCAGGCTGACATCAAAACCCGGTTGGCATCCCTCCGTAGAGCAGAGAACCTACGGAAGCGCAGAAGGAAGAAAGAACAAACTAGAACTATAAAGATCCCTTCAAGTTCCTTAAAAGTCTCTTCACGAAGGAAAAAAGTGGAGTTCTAAAAACAACAAAGAAAGACCTAGAAGAGCACCTGAGAACAACAAACTTTGACTCAAAGCGACATGAACATCTGGCCATCCCATCAGATATCCCACCCATTGAACCCCCGGAACATCATATTGAGACCAGCCCTCCGACATGGAAAGAGGTGGAAAACACAGTTCGAAGGGCAAGAACAGCATCAGCCCCGGAGCCAAATGGAGTCCCGTACAAAGTGTATAAGAAAGCACCAGACGTCCTGAGGTTCCTCTGGAGGCTTATGAGAACAGCTTGGCAAAAGAAGATAATACCAAAAGTGTGGCGTAGGGCAGGCGGGGTCCTGATCCCTAAGGAGAAGGATGCAGTGAACATCAGCCAATTCCGCCCAATCTCCTTACTGAATGTCGAGGGTAAAATCTTCTTTAGGATCATTGCCCAGAGGATGGCCGAGTACCTGCAAAGGAATGCGTACGTCGATACATCTGTACAGAAGGCAGGAATATCAGGGTTCTCTGGCTGCTTGGAACATTCCAGCATGATCTGGCACCAGATCCAAATGGCCAAGGTGGAGAAAAGGGACCTCCATGTAGTCTTCCTCGACCTCGCCAATGCATTTGGCTCTGTGCCCCATGAACTCCTGTGGTCTGCCTTCAGATTTTTCCACATACCGGACACCATCACAACCCTGGTGAAGTCGTACTTTCAGGATCTGCAGTTCTGCTTCACCACCTCAGAGTTCACCACCTCATGGCAATGCCTGAATGTAGGTATAATGGCGGGATGTACCATTTCTCCATTGGCATTCATAATGGCAATGGAGGTTATCATCAGATCCTCAAAATGGGTTGCTGGTGGACAGCGAGTCGACTCTGGTTTTCGCCTCCCTCCACTCAGAGCCTACATGGACGACATTACAACATTGACCACCACTGTCCCATGCACCAGGAGACTGCTCAGAAAACTCGAGGAGAACATCAGCTGGGCCCGTATGAAGATTAAACCATCCAAGTCACGCAGCATCTCGATTGTGAAGGGAGTACTCTGTGACCTGAAATTCTTCATCGGAGATGACCAAATCCCAACAGTGTCTGAGCAGCCGGTAAAAAGCCTTGGAAGGTGGTATGATGCAAGCCTGAAGGACAAAGACCAGGTGCAACAGCTGCGCAAAGACATCAGTAGTAGCCTACAGTCCATCGACAACACCCAGCTACCTGGAAAGTTAAAGGCCTGGTGTCTGCAGTTTGGTCTCTTACCCCGGGTGTTGTGGCCCCTAGCAGTGTATGAGGTTCCAATCTCAACAGTGGAGAAGATGGAAAGAGGAGCCACGAGCTACTTAAAGAAGTGGCTCGGAGTTCCACGATGCCTTACCACCATAGGCCTCTATGGAGATGGTGTCCTCAAGCTGCCCCTCACCAGTCTAACCGAGGAATTCAAGTGTGCAAAAACCAGGCTCCAGATGACACTGAATGAATCTCGAGACCCAGTGGTGAGCAACAACGCGCCGACCTTGGCAACTGGACGCAAATGGAGGCCAGGAAAAGCAGTCCAGGAGGCAACAGCAGCCCTCAGACATGCTGACATTGTGGGTCATGTTCAGCAAGTGAGAGGAGGCCTTGGGCTAACTAGCCGTGCTGCTTGGAGTAAGGCCACTGCACCAGAGCGGCGGAAGATGGTAGTGCAGGAAGTACTCCATCAGGAGGAGGCTGCAAGGTGGGCCAAGGCAGTCTCTCTTGCCAAACAAGGACAGTGGACTCGATGGGACAGTGTGGAGAAGAGGAAGATCAGCTGGAAGGATCTGTGGGCCACGGAAGCGAGGCGGTTGAGCTTCTCCATCAGAGCAACATATGACATCCTTCCAACACCAGTTAATCTTCACCAATGGTATGGTGAAGATCCGGACTGTGCCCTCTGTTCCATGCCAGCCAACCTCAGGCACATTCTCACAGGGTGTAAAACAAGCCTCACCCAAGGACGCTACACTTGGCGTCACAACCAAGTCCTTAAAAACCTTGCATCCGCCCTGGAGGACAAGCGGGCTGCCACCAACTCCCTACCACCCCCAGCAGCATCATACCCCTTACGGACGACCTTTGTCCGCGAAGGGGCTAAACCACCGAAGAGCGACTCTACACCAATAGAGCGAGACCAGCTGCGCTTGGCCCGCGACTGGAAAATGCTAGCTGACATTGGCCGGCAACTTGTGTTTCCTCCGGAGATCGCAACCACCACCCTAAGACCTGACGTGGTGCTCTGGGCCCGTTCGCTCAAGAAGGTCTTCATCATTGAGCTCACAGTACCCTGGGAGGACTCAGTAGATGAGGCTTATGAGCGAAAACATCTGCGCTATGCCGATCTAGCTGCCGAAGCACGGCATCATGGCTGGAACACAGAAGTCCGACCAGTGGAGGTGGGCTGCAGAGGTTTTGTGGCAACATCTACAACCAGACTGCTTAGAGACCTGGCAATTAAGGGCCATAGCCAGCGTTCGGCAATCAAAGCTGTATCGGAGGCGGCAGAAGGCAGCAGTCAGTGGCTCTGGATGAAGAGGAAAGACCCCAGCTGGGCCCCAAAGTGAGAGGGCCAGGAGGTATGCAGTCAACAATGCTTGACTCAGGGAGGAGGACGCCCCTGCCATGCATAGTCCCATGGGATGTTGGCTACCAACAACAAGGCAACTCCTATGACTAATTGGGAATGGGACGCAAGCGTAGGATTGATCACCCTGTCGCTGGCCGCCTTTGGGGAGGGTGTATAGTATGAAAGGCCGAAACACCCTAGGAACCAAAGGGTCACTACTGACGATGCGCTCCCCAAATTTCACCAGGCTCACTGTTCATGAACTCTTGGAAGTGCTTGCACAAAGGATAGTAACATCTCATCCTGTGTTCTTTGGAATTTGCGTTAAGCAGACGTCGAGGTTGGGCATTCCTTGTACCAAAATTTAGTTTGTTCCCTGCGGAGCAGTGAGCGTGTGAGGGTGGGCGTGTCATACAAACGGCTTCGTTGCTCCCTCTCGCTCGGGGCGTGTCTGCTGGCAGCTGCCGGCTCCTTTTACTGCTGGATGAGCTGCGTCGGCACGATGCTTGTCCTTGAAGATGCTCGTTTGCTCTTGCCGCTCGTCCGCTGGCAGCTACAGACACCTTCCACTGCTGGATGAGCTGGTTGCACGTGCTCTCTCCTGCCCCTTGCTCTCTGGCGATGAACGATGCGCTCGCAGTTCGTTCGCTGGTGGCAGACACCCTTGTTCGATGGAGCTGGTTGCACGTGCTCTCTCTTGCCCCGTGCTCTCTCCTGCCCCGTGCTCTTTGGCGATGCACCAGCTCGTTTGCTGGTCGCCATTCCTCACTCTTGTCTTGGTTCCCAGCTGGTGCTGGTTGGTGTGTGTGTGGGTTGAACCCACGGCGCTCTCGCCGGCGCTCTCCTATTCCTCATGGGCGGCTGGTCAGGCTCTTTCTCCTGCTGGATGAGCTGAGTCGGCACAACGCTTGTCGCTTGTCCGCTGGCAGCTGACACTCTTTGCTCGGTCGCGCTCGGTGGCGCTGCTGCGTGCTCTCCTGCTCCGTGCTCTCTGGCAGCGCACGATTGCGCGTGCAGCTGGTTCTCTGCGATGCTGGCTTGGACGATGCTTGGCTCTTTCCGCCCTTTCTCGAGTTTGATTGCTTGACGTTGCTCGTCAGTTCAACTCGAGCTGCAGCTGCTCGTGGGAGCTGGGACTCACTCTCAAAAACTTGTAAATTGTATTCGCAAGTTCTTAAGCAACTGTGAAAGCTTAGTGTGTGTTTTTGAAGCCATGTCGAGATTTCCCCAGAATCTCATTAGAAATCCCCCCTCCCTCTCTTTTCTTTGTTTTGGGTTTTTTTTATTACTTTGTATGGCTTATCTCCGGCTTGGTCGGAGTGAAGGGCAGCTGATGTGCCTCACCCTTTCATGTCCCATGCTCACCCCGATCAATTATGAAACAAATATTGGAAGAATTATTCTTAATATCAATTTTGGAAAAAGGCCTATATCTACAACACTGGTAATGGTCATAATGATGGTGATAGTGGTCGTGATGAAGATGGTGGTAATGATGCTGATGTTAGTGATAATGTGAGTGATGGGAATGGTGATGGGTTTGGTAATGATGTTAGTCGTGGTGATGGCAGTGACCGTTGTGGTGATGGTAATGATGGTGACATTCGTGATAATATAGGTGGTGATGATTTTGCTGATGGTATTAGCGATGATATTGGTTATGGTGGTCATGGTAGTGATGGTGGTGATCATGGTTTTTTGATGGTCGTTGTAATGGTTATGATGCTGGTCATGTTGGTGATGAAGATGGTAGTGATAGGGATAGTGGTGACGGTAGTGATGGCGGTGGTGATTGTTTGTGATGGTGCTAGTGGTGGTGATGATGGTTGTGATATTTTTTTATTGCGAGTGATGTTGTTGATGTTCAAAGTGTTGATGGTGGTGATGGTGATGTTTATGTTGTTGTCATTGATGATATTGATTGCGAGGATGGTTGGTGATGGTGATGTTTGGGATGTTCTTGTTGATGGTGAAGATGATGGTTGGTGATGGTAATGTTGATGGTGGTAATTGTGGATGATGGTGATAATGTAGTGATGTTGTCATCGCTGTTGTCACAGACGGACGCTCACCGACTCTGGACACAAAATCAGCTCATAACTACCTCCAGATCTCCTCGGATCTCAGGACGATGATGCTGACCCGTGCCTCCCAGGATCGCCCTGATCACCCACACCGGTTTGATGGCTGTGTACAAGCCCTGTGCCGTGAGAGCTTCTCGTCGGGCCACCACTACTGGGAGGTGGACGTGGGGGATGCGGAGTGGTGGCGGGTTGGAGTCGCGTACGGGACGATCCCACGGAAAGGAAGTGGTGAAGCACAGCTGCTGGGAGAGAGCGGCGACTCCTGGTGTTTAGAGAAATGGTATAACAGCTTCTCAGTGTTTCATGGTGGAGTGGCGACTGCACTGTCGGTGAGGGGGGCCCCCTCCCCCCGCAGAATCGGGCTTCACCTGCACTGGGAAGGGGGGCTCCTGGCGTTTTACCACGCCGACTCCATGGAGGTGATCCATGAGGTTCGGCAGAGATTCTTGCAGCCTCTCTACCCTGGGATGTTGGTGGGATGTTGTAATGATCCATTGAAGATCGTGGATCTGAGTCGTGAATCCTGAGGATGAGGAGAGCTAGAACCCCAAGAAACCGAGACAGAAACCCAAGAAACGGAGAGGGTGAAGTGAGGGCGAGGGGAAGGTGGAATGGAGGGTGAGGTAAGGTGAGTGTGAGGAGAGGGCGAGGAGAGGATGGGAAGGAGGGGGTAGAGGGAGGGGGAGGAGATGCCAGGCTATGGAGAGGGCTTAGGAGGAGAGGGGAGGCCATGGAGAGGGCTTAGGAGGGAAAGGAATGTGGAATGGATGGTGAGGTAAGTTGAGCTTTCGGGGAGGGTGAGGTAAAGTGAGGTTTAGAGGAGGGTGAGGTAAGGGGCCATCCATTTAGTATGTATACATGGAGGGGGGAGGGGGGTTAACTCAAATGCATATGCTTGCATATGGGGGGGTCTATGACAATGTACGTACGTATAGGAAAGGGGAGGGGGGTGTGAAGCCTCGATAATAATTTGTCTACATTTAGCCTTAAAATGAGCCACAGCTCCGTTTATTCAGCTGTCAGAGAAGTAGGACTGTGGGGGAGGTGTCACTTCTAGATTTGAAGTTTTCGTGACTGCAAGGATTCATACTCTTTGTTTTTTTTTCGGTAAAAAATAAATGAAATAAATGAAAACAACTAAATTAAATCACGACGTTTCGGGCGCAACACAAGCGTCCGTCTCCAGGTGTGGACAACGCAGCGTTAGTACAATCGCTTAAGTGTGTCTAAGAGATGGCTGTGACGAGGCATTATATAGTTGTGGGGAAGGAGGGGGCATGGTGAGTGTGGGGGTGGGGTGTGGGCTGGGAGGTGATGCATGGAGTTCACGAAGTTCAAAATAAAGCTTTGTGATGCAGGGGCGGAAGTAGATAATAAAGCTAAGTTAAGCCGTCCTTTGTTATCCTGCAGGGAGAGTAAATTAGAGTTAAAACTTGCGCGCTAGAAACAACGTGTGGCACATTTTTCAAGTGATGAAAATAAGCCAATGTTAAATTATTCCATAGACGCCAATGTTATATTATCCCATAGACTACGATGTTAAATTCTCCCAAAGACGCCAATATTAAATTCTCCCATGGACTATAATGTTAAATTCTCACATAGACTCCAATGTTAAATTATCCAATAGACATAGTAGTAGGTTTTTACCCTTTAAACTGGTACAAAACTGACACCTTTATACAAGGCATCATGTTTGCAATAACCGCAACACAAGCAGTCAAAATGCAAACAAAAAGAAACAACTCTGATAATGGTAATTATATGCACTGTCCTTGAAGTTGTTTGGTCCACACCCGAGACAGCTTTCCTTAGAGCCTAGTCTCCATTGGTGTTGGACCAGATGACGCCAAAAGGCGTATAAAGGTGTCAGTTTTGTACCAGTTTAAAGGGTAAAAACCTACTACTATACTTTGCCACTAGTAAAGGAGGTCTCATAGTGTTAATATCCAATAGACGTCAATGTTAAAATTCTCCCATAGACGCCAATGTTAAATTCCCAATAGAATCCAATGTTAAATTCTCCCATAGACTCCAATGTTAAATTCTCCCAAGCCCGGCTTATTCCCATCACTTGAAAATTTTACCAAGTTAAACTTTAGCTGCCGTTCAGTTTACTTCAAGGCAGCCAGTTTATATTTATTTTCATATTCATATCCATATTTCCAGTCTTTTACTCACAGCTTTACACACTACCATCTCTATGAAATTTGACTCCAAGCCCAGCTTATTCCCATCACTTGAAAGATTTGCCACACATTGTTTTAATGTGCAAGTTTTAACTCTTATTTACCCTCCTGCAGCATAACAAAGGACGGCTTAACTTAGCTTTCTTATCTACTTCCGCCCCTGCATCACAAAGCTTCAGTTTGAACTCCGTGAACTCCATGCGTCACCTCCCAGCCCACACCCCACCCCCACACTCACCATGCCCCCTCCCCCCCTACTTCCCCACAACTATATAATGCCTCGTCACAGCCATCTCTTAGACACACTTAAGCGGTTGTACTTTCGCTGCGTTGTCCACACCTGAAGACGGACGCTTGTGTTGCGCCCGAAATGTCGTGATTTAATTTAGTTTTAATTTATTTCATAATTTTTTTACCTACGTGACTTTACCGAGAAAACAACCAAAGAGTATGAGGTGTCACTTGTGTGATGCGATAGTGACATCTACTGGTTGGAAAAGGGAAGCACAGTTACAGGCACCACTATAAACATTATCCAATCCCAAAAGGTAGAGGTATCTGGGCCAAAGGTGAAGGGTGGGGCCGGCCGAGAAACTCCGAGGACCGGCTAGAAAGTTCCACAAGAGGGCGTGGCCGGAGGGGGAGCCTACCCGGGCTCCCCCTCCGGACTCGGAGTTGGTATGGGGAGTCTTGTGTCTGGACTGCATCGCTGCTCGCCGTCATCTCTCCCCGTCATTCGGCCACATGGCGGATCTCCTGTGTAGCTCCACCATCCTTGCTGGCACGCCGTCAGCCAGCGGCGAGACCGGGAGCGGACGGGTGGAACCCGCCGTGTGTACAACCGTGTGTGTAGTTTGTAGAACGTAATAGCTAAGTATGTACTTGGAGAGGAAGCCGATACCGTTGGCCTGCGCTGTGCCCGTACGTGGAATAAAGAAGAGAACCCTCTACACGACATGTCGTGGAAGTCACTCATTACACTCATATGCTACCATACAGCTGACTGCTAGCTATCACGTAGCGCAGCAGTGAGTTTGACATAGTCTGGCGGCCTTCCCCATGGATTACACATCCTTCAATCTGGCCTCACAGCAGACTGCCGCTGGCTCAAGATTTTAACTTCCGCAGTGCTCTGTTGGTGCTGCTGCTACCCGGACTTCAGTACTAACACTGGTCTGTACATCGGTCTACTCTCACAGCAGATGTTCAGTTGACACACTTTATATAGAGACTAGTTCACCGAGTTTAAATTGTGTTTTAAGATCATAATAGACGTGTCTTTGAATAACCAGTCAGGATGGATAACACGCTCAAGTATAACTAGTTGTACAATGCTGTGTGTAAAGCTAGTGAACAAGAACACGTTAATATGATTAATCCTTGATCGTTTCTGCATGGATTAACTATCGGCTGTTCTATAGGATTCGGTGGGGGGGTGCAACAAGCGTACATATGCAGGTGGTGGGTGGTGTAAAAAGTACGCGTGCTTACAGGGAGGGGGGACGGGTCAAGTTTTGACAGATTTTTGCGTACATACTAAATGGATGGCCCCTAAGGAGACGGTTAGGGGAGGGTGGAGTGAAGGGAGGTTGAGGTGAAAATTGAGGGGTGAGCATGAGAAGGGGAGGGTGAGGGGGGAAGGTGAGGTTCAGGTTGGTGTGCGTGAGCGATTTTGCCGGTGCAGTACAAATTGCCGGTGCGGAAGTATGAGGGATTTGAATGAAATCTGAGTGGAGAATCAGCGCTGCCTCAGAGTCCGTGTGGCCACTCCTTCACCTGCAGTGTGCCTGAAACATTGAAGACATAATCAAAACCACGTATCGTGTTACTCATCCCATAAGTCGCAGGCACAGCCTTCTGGGAGTGCCTAATTGAAGCGGCATTTGGTTCAACGCAAGCAACACTCTGGACCGGTTTCGAACATTCAGTGTCTCATCAGCAGCAAAGTCAGTCTCGCATGAAGCAATGTATAGTGTTGTAAAGGACGGACTAATAAACGTCTTTATGGCACACACAGTTTATTGTCTTAATTACACAGTCCCTAACACACAAGGGGTATACGGTCCCCTTACCCTTTTATTCTTTGGTTCTTTCGGTAAAGTCACGTATAAAGAAAAAATAATAAATTAAATAATAGCATACGACGTTTCGATTGCAACACAAGCAATCATCATCAGGTATAATGAAATAGCGACATAAAATCTAACCAGAAAAAATTATAGACAGACATGTAAGCAGACAGATATCACCAAGATACACAGAGCGGGCAACACAGGTACAGAGAGGGGTGATCGTCTCTGTGGGGTGGCCTTAAATAGACAGGGGGGCGGCGTTAATTGTGTGTTGACCGACTCTCTGTGTCGTTTTACATAACATTTCGATACTTTGATAGGTTATTTAATTTTAGTGTGTCTCTTTCTCCCCATAAGCCTGCTCACTTCTTTTTGTTGTACTCATTGACATGTAAATTTTGTCTCTAACCCCTCCCTCTCGCTGCCTCCGCCCCCCTCTGTCTATTTAAGGCCACCCCACAGAGACGATCACCCCTCTCTGTACCTGTGTTGCCCGCTCTGTGTATCTTGGTGATATCTGTCTGCTTACATGTCTGTCTATAATTTTTTCTGGTTAGATTTTATGTCGCTATTTCATTATACCTGATGATGATTGCTTGTGTTGCAATCGAAACGTCGTATGCTATTATTTAATTTATTATTTTTTCTTTATACGTGACTTTACCGAAAGAACCAAAGAATAATTCCTGCAGTCACGAAAGCTCCAAAGTTAAGATAGGTCCTCTTACCCGTTAACCTGAGGAGGTACAGCCTCCGACCCTGCACAGCTCACACTCACACTTCGCTCCTATTCTAAGGAGCTACAGCCTCCGGACTTGCCGGCTATCTAATCTCCCCGCTAGCCTAGCGTCCTCCGGCTGGGACCTAGGGGAGGCACACTGACCCGCCGCTGGCCCGGCGGGTCCCCGACCTCTGGTCGCTCAAGACCTTCGCCCTCACAAGGGCGGGAAGGCTGGGAGCCAGGGTCCTATCCAGGACCTATCTCCCCTGACCACTGGTTACACTAAGCCCCAGCCCTGACATGGGCTGGAAGGCTTGGTCCAGGGTCCTAGCTGTCTTCGGCCGACTTGGGTCTTCGTGTAGCAGAACTGGCCAAGAGCTTCGATTTAAAGCTTTCGTGACTGCAGGGATTCATCTTCTTGGTTCTTTCGGTAAAGTCACGTGGAAGGGAAGTAATACAATAATAAAAATAAAACATAATAAAATAATTCTCACGACATTTCGGCCACAACACAAGCAGCCGTCCTCAGGTGAAGACCAGGTCTG